CAAAATCGCGATTAGGGTTTTGGAGGAGGAGCAAATCTGTCGAGGACCAAAATCGCCCAGACCGTGAGTTTTACAAGGGTAGGTATGTCTTTTTTGTTGGCTTAATGTAGACAAGTGCCTAAAATGGTCTGTGCGAATAAGCCCCTATCTGGGCGAATAAGCTCGAAGTAAACAGCCTAAAATGACTGTGCGAATAAGCCAATTTATCCGGTAAGCTCATTAAGCCATAAGTAAACAGGCCCTAAGTCTCTTCAGTGATTGCTGAACATGTATTTTAACTCTTTAGAGACTGCTATACTTCAAGAAGACAAAACTCACACAAAAAAACCTTTAGCAATGTCGAAGACAGAAACTACTGATTAGATTATCTGAAGCGACATTCAGTGATTACAAGCTCGTCTACATATGTGTAAAGATTGCACAAGTTTCAGCGAATGCTGAATAGACCTCCAGTGTCATCCTAACATTCAATGATCAAATGAAGGTTACCATGCACAATTGTTTTTGTCTTGTCTTCCCACACATTAAGGACAAACCCATGCCTTTTCTAGAGTATAGAATAGTACAGAGCCACTAAGTTGACTCTATCGTGCTTACCTACTTTGTGAAAAGAAGATTGCTCATGGACAGTGATAGGAATGTTGACTGTGGCAAAAGACAAGCTTTCATCCAAAAGCTTGACACATGTTATGTACCTTCTGAATTGCATTTAATGCAATGGGTATAAATAGTTGAGTGCTCTCTACTCAATTATCACTCTTCCTCTCTAAGAAACTTACCTGTTGGGTTTAAGTTGTGCTTAATTGTTGTATTCAAGTGTTTCTCCTTTGTAAATTTTGTCTTTAATGCTTTGTAGGTATAAATAGTCTTTCCTTTGTAATTTATGTTAGGACTGAAAATCAGTGTAAAATGGTATTCCTCTTGAAAGTTTATTTTGTCTATAATTGTATAAAAATTATCGTGTTTGACTATTCTTAGACTGTTTGACTTTTACTTTGTCAAGAGGTTTGACCCTATATAAAGGGTGATGTCTTTGTAATTTTAGAGGGATTCTAATTGTAATATCATTTACGTAATAGTGAAGTTTGAACAAGTTGTGGGTGTTGACTTTCTCTCTCTCTTCTCCTACATGTTTTTAATAGAAAACATCTTCTGCCATTGATGTTCTTGAAGGATTTACATAAAGATTGATTATTTGGGACTTATAATTGGTATCAGAGCAGATTTGCAGGAATTTTGATTGAAGAAATTGTCAAGAATAGCACAATTTTCTGGAAATTTTATGATTTTGTTCTTGAAGTTCATCTCTAATCTTTATAAATTTTCTCTCAAATTTCTCATTTGTGGATGTTTAGTTGTTAAAATTGTGATCGATGTGTATGGTTTTACATCGTGATTCATTGTTGTTCTTTTGATTTTGCTTTTTGATCATCGATTTTAAAGTTTTGAAGAGTTTATGAATTTTGAAGTTTTTAGTGTTCTTATGAAGATTCTTCAAAAAGTTAGATTTTGATCCAATTTTTTCTGAGTTTTTGTGTTTGTGTGTTGTTTTGATCCAAGTTTGATTTACATTTGTGTTTGAATCTTGTTAGCCTACCTCTTGACCAAATAAGACTGTTTGATGACCTGTTTGATGACTGGATTAACACCTTGCTTTGAGCAGACTTTGAGTGATTTATTCTTCACTTCCTTGACCGATTTAGAAGCTGCTTTGAGCGGACTACATCATGCAGTGAGCGATTTATATCTTCTTGAAGCAGGCGATTTACTTGATCTGTTGAGCAGCCTTACATCTTGAGCGATTTACTTAGTGAGTTGATGAGGTGAGCGGTTTAGGTTGTTTGTTCAGCGGTTTTAATAGTTTAGTATTGAGCGATTTCATGAGTGTAGTGAGCGGATTATCCCTCATGCAGCAGGCGATTTACTTGATCATGCAGTAAGTGGTTTAAGCTGTTAAGTGACCGGATTAAGGATCTGTAGTAAACGGATTAAGTTCATACAGTGAACGGACTTGACCCTGCATAGTGAGCAGTTTAGGCTATTTCTTGATCGGATAAGAAATGGTGGTGTGCGATTTAGATCCATAAGGTGTGCGATTTAAAGGCTGAGTTTTAAGTGGATTAAGACCATACAGTGAACTGTTTTGAGTTGTTTAAATCACTCCTTGAGCGGATTAAACCTTGAGCGGGTTAAGCATAGTAGTGAGCGGTTTAGAATCAGGCAGTAAGTGTGGTGAGCGATGTATTTCACATATTGAGCGGTTTAGACTTCAAGCTTGAGCGACTTAGGCTGTAAGAGTTGACCGGTTAAGAAACAGTCTTGACCGGATTATCTTCAAGCAGTAAGCGATTGAGAAGTTTGCTGTGAGCGGTTTAGGCTAGTACTTGATCAGATTAAGGAACCTTGGTGAGCGATTTATAGGTTAGCTGTGAGCGATTTAATGTTGTGAATTGAGTGGACTAATGCAGTGTATTGAGTGATAACAGATTGAGCGATTTAAGGGCTGCTTGGTGACAGGATTAGAAAGCAAGTTTTGAAAGGATTTCATGCAATATAGTGTTTCATGCAGTGACTATTGTACAACATACACTGTGCGATATTCTTCCATGCATTGAGCAATTTAGAGTGAGCTGTCTTGAGCGAATTAGAGAGCCTGTAGTGAGCGATTTAGAGGGTTGTTCATTGAGCGGTTAAGAGTCTTGCTTTGAGCGATTTAAAACAGTTTTGCAGATTCTGGTTTGAGCGATTTATGTTAGACTTTGAACGATCTTAACCAGATTTAGACTTCACTTTTTGAGCGATATATATCTAGTGTTTCAACTTTGACCGGATAAGGACTTGAGTGGTAAGCAATTTAGACAGTGTTATATTTCATGCTTTGAGTGACTATTCTGTTTGGAATCCAAGCTTTTTGTTCATAAGTCTGTTTTACTTGGTTACCTTGTCTTGATTTAGTTTTTGTATCAAATTTATTTGTTCAAAGATCATATTGTTGATTGAATTTCTTGGAATTGTGTGATTTTTTTTTAAGTGTATTTCTTTAATCATTTTTCTTAAACTGCATAGATTCTTCAGTTAATCAATCTTAATTTTCTTAATGGTAGATTTTCTTCAGAAAGAGAATAAGGAGTTGAAAGAGAGAATTACAGAGTTGGAAAAGAGCTTACAGAGTTATAAGGAGAAATATCTTAACATGTTTTACGAGAATCATGCTAATGTAGAATTTATTGCGAATTTACAAAAAGAGCATAAAGTAGCATTGGAAAAAGTTGAGAATGATTTCATGAATAAGATGAATAAACTTGAGAAAAYTCTRAGTTYTGTRAGGAAWGACTRYGATAATGATTTGAAAACTWGGAGTAAAGCTAATAAAGATATGTTTAAKAAACTTCAAGAGATGCAAACTGAGAAGAATCCTTTTGGGAAGAATAGTAAAGAGACAAAGGACTTATCTGATA